GGATAAACTTCGCCGTTACTGTCTCTGGGAGAAGAATTCCGATGATGGGATCAAAAACACTTCCCTTGCTGCCTGGGAGCTCGTTTGCCGTCTGAAACGGTGTGGTGGCCTTGGTGTTATTGACATCAAGACACAGAATGTAGCCCTGCTTCTAAAACACCTGTTCAAGTTTTATAATCATGCGGATGTGCCCTGGGTGGAGCTGGTTTGGAACACGTACTATTCTAACAAAGTCCCTCACGCTGTTGACACTGTGGGATCTTTCTGGTGGAAAGATGTAATGCAGCTCAATGGGACTTTTCGTAGCATCACCAAGATCATACCAGGGGATGGAGCTAGTGCATTGTTTTGGAAGGATGTCTGGCTGGGAGGCGACGATGGTGAGACAATCATGGAGATGTACCCACGGGCCTTTTCCTACTGCCTAAATGAGGATGACTCTATTACTAAAGTCCTCACTGCCACTGACCCGGCCTCGATCTTCAGTCTGCCCCTCTCAATCCAGGCTAGGGAGGAAGTCAGACAAATTCAGCTTGCTTCGAGGCATGTGGGTGTGGACGTCGGCAGCCGAGACACCTGGGACTGCACGCTCGGGCGTTACTCTTTGAAGAAGTTCTATCAACATTGTTTCAAGGAGATCGTGGCTGATGAGGCCTTCGGCTGGCTCTGGAAAGCCAAGAGCCCCATTAAATTCAAAATGTTTGGGTGGTTGCTTCTAGTTGATCGTCTGAACACCAGAAATATGCTTAAACGCAGGCATTTCGCGGTCGCGGGAAACAATTATGCATGCTTGTTATGTCAAAAAACCCCGAAGAAACCGTTGAACACTTGTTCTTCTTATGTCCCTTTAGTCAATGGTGCTGGAGCAAAGTTGGGGTGTCCTGGCCAGTCGATGGCAATAGACTAAACCTGCTACGCGGGGGGAGAGAAGCCTGGAGACAGCCCCTCTTCATGGACATCTTCCTCATGGCAGCTTGGAGCCTATGGATGGAGCGAAACAATCAACACTTCAGAGGGGTGCAACACTCCTTCGGGGCTTGGCTTGCAAGATTCAAGTACCTCCTTGAGTTGCTGGTTCACAACTGCAAGGAGGAAATTCGCCCTTTCCTTTCCATCTACATTGTAAATTTGGGTCACTAGTGCTGTTGGGTACATAGTAGTTCGTGCGGCTGGGGGGCCGCTCTAATACCCCCCCGTTGTAACAACTATGTAACCGTCTTTTTGTGAGTAATACAAAAGTCTGTGGGAGCCTCTCCCACTGTCGTTCACCATCAAAAAAAAATACAATCTTCGAATGGTCGAAGATACACTCATAAAGTGCATTGGAATGTTCGCTGAAACTATTTTGAGTGTTTATGGAGAGCAGTATCAGTGAGCATCCAATGCCTATGACACAATTAGGCTTCTAGCGATTCATAAAGCAAAAGGCCATTTTGTAATGCTAGGGAGTGTTGAATGTATGCACTAGAAGTGGTAGAACTACCCTGCAGCTTGCTATGACCAATTCACTGGACTAAGGTCCAATAATAATTTTGGAAGTTGTTATGTCCAAAGATTTGTGGATCTCAAATTGCTACTTTGGGTCGCGTGAATCTCACAATGGCATCAATGACCTGATGAGATCTTATCTGTTTGCAAGACTAGCTGGTGGTACTTCTCCACCTTGCAACTTCAGGGTGAATGGCTATCATTATGACCAAGGCTACTATCTAGCCGATGGCATTATCCATCGTGGTCCACATTTTTAAAGATATTTTCAATCCCGGGAGCAGGAAACATAAGCATTTTGTTAAGGTGCAAGAAGCTCAAAGGAGAGACATTGAGAGGGCACTGGAGTGTTGCAAGCAAGGTTTTTCGATTGTTTGATGGCCTCATTTCTAGAATAAGGATGTTTTGACAAATATCATGACATGTTGTGTGATCCTACACAATATGATTATACAGAATGAGAGAGATGTGCCAAGCCCCCATTGATTATGAAGATATTGGCATAATCACCTCACAGGCACACAAGATGCATTCAAGCATCTTTTTATGTGTACCAGAAGATTGAAGACTGGGCCTCCCATCATCAGCTGAAGGAGAATCTCCGTAAGCATCATTGGCAGCTAGCTGAAAGATACTAATGTTTAATTTCATTTTAATTTTACTTGAACAATTTATTTGATTGGATTATTTGTTGCATTTGGATTATTTATTAATTTGAATTATTTGTCATGTGCATATTAATGATTTTTTCAATAATTATGGCATTATTGAATTGTTTGATCTAAATGCTGACAAGTTTGTGTTTTCATTTTTCTTAGTCCATTACAAGAATGTATGATGTATTTTGGTTCTATTATAGATATGGTTCATGTGAATGTAGCAGAAGCCACTCTTGGTGCAAAAAGAATTGTTCTGTTATTGTTAAAAAAGGGTTTTGTGTTGGAAACCTCGATTTTTTTTTGGATTTTTGCTCCTTATTATGAATAATAAACATGATAATTTTTAGGAAAATGTAAAAAAAAAAAGTACGGCCCTGGCCAGTGGCTCAGTGCTGCACTGGCAAGTGGTAGACAATGTTGGGCCGTGCGTAGCTCGGTCTCTTTGATACGGAGCAACCAAGCCAGCTTCCCCACAGGCCCATGGATGCAGTAGCTCGCCTCGTCCCCTCTTCGCCCTAACTCGCCGGCGTCACCTGCTCCATCCGCTCCCGCCGCCCCCATGCTCCCCCTAATACGCCGCCTCCCCGCCGCTCCTTCCCGCCTAGCCGCCCTCGCACTCCGCCGACCACACCGTCGAGCTGCGGCGACGACGACAACGACACCTGCGGTATCCTCCTCCCGTCTCGCGGGCTCGCCGCCTGCAGAGAGTCCAGCGGCGGATCAGGGGAGTGAGTTGGAGCCCTGCCCCGAACCCCTCGACCGGGACTGGGGCTCGACGCTGTCCCGGGCGGACCTCACAGAGGTTGCCGGGATCCTCCGGCGGTTGCGCGACGAGCAGATCAATCTGGGCCTGGGCACCTTCAATCTGCTGCTGAAGCGAGCCTGCGAAGCAGACGACTTCCTTCTCTTCGCCAAGGTATTCAGACACTTGCTGCTCTCCAAAGCTGCTCCCGACTTGACTTCCTACATGTGTGTCGCCAGGGCCATTGGGGGTTTAGATGACTCTGAACTGTTACTCAAGTTTGTGAGAGAGGTATTGGAGATCACAAATGGCAGAGACCCCACGGTGGTGAATCGCATTGTTTTCGCCGCGGGTAGATACGGGAACCTCGATAAAAGTTTGATCGTGTTTGAGGAGCTGAAGAAAGATAAGAGATGCTTGGATGTTGTCACCTTCAACACTGTCTTGGACATGCTAGGAAAGGTTGGTCGGGTGGACGAAATGCTCCGGGAGGTGAAGCTAATGAAGGAACTTAGCATTTGTCCTGACATTGTGACTTATAATACGGTGATAAACTGCCTGCGTAGGCTTGGAAGATTGGGTCTGTGCAAAAGCTTTGCAAGAGAGATGTTTGAGAGAGGCATCAGTCCTGATTTGAGAACATATACCGCGCTAATTGATTGTTTTGGAAGGGCAGGGCATATTGCTGATGCCCTTGAAGCGTTTGAACAGATGAAGAAGTCGCACCAACCTTCGATTTATGTCTATCGGGCACTGATCAGTGACATGAAAAAGGCTGGGCGGTTTGAGCTAGCAGAAAAGCTCACCGAAGAGATGGATTCAAGTGCGTCTGATTTGTTAGGCCCTGAAGATTTCAGGCAGAGGTCCAAGGGAAGAAGGGTCAGGAACAGCAGCAGGTAAAAAACAGAAAAGTTATCTTCCAGGTCTGTATGATTCCTTCACATGCGATGCAACAGCTGCTGGTACCAAGTTCCAGACTTCCAATGGATACTGGTCCTGCTGGTTGACATCTTCAGAAGATGTATCCTAGGAAAGAAACAGAGAACTACAAAGTTCAGATGACAGCAGCTTGATGATTACAAAGACACCGCAGTGATCCTAGAGCTACAGTCCTGAATGGCATGTCATGACCGCAGGCCGTTGCTGATGCACTTCTCAAGAGATTCAGGAACCGGAGTCAGTAGCAACTGCGGCAATTCCTAGTTAAGAAATATGTGCCGCACCGCTCGATTGTCGCTTGGAAAGTGCCTGTTGCTGGAAAGATCGCTGTTTTGCTCTGAGCTTGTGGGCGTAAAGTTTCGGCATTTTCCGTCACTCTTCAGTGCACCGAAGAATAGTGAAGTCTTGGCATCTGGTTCATTTTGTAGGCTATGCTTGTAAATCATTAGGCATAATAGCAAACAAACTTACATTTTACACGAGTAAGTTGATTCTATCCAAAATTTCTGGGATAATATCATCTTAGCATTCGTGGGATGGTGCACACTCGTGTGTCTGGCAATATGCCCTGACCCCAGAACATGTTGGTGTGATGCAATGTCGTTCCATGTAATGCCCAGTTTGTTACAGTTTGTTATAGATTCAGTAATTTTCGAGGAACTAATCAAGTGAATGCAGACGGAGGCCGTAATAAATCAAATAACAGTGCTTGTTAACGTGTGGATACGAGATAGTGCGGGGCAGAGAAGAAATCCGGACATTTTGATGGAAAAAGTTTCTGAAACTTACTGTCCTGGAACTTTGCATAGTTCACCGCTGCCTCCGGCGTCCATCATCACATCACTTGCAGAGTATCCATCTCAGGATGAATATCGAGCGCCGTACGTGGTGTGGAAGGTGACCGATACACGTAGGAGTAGTGTGGTCTGCCACGAACCGTTCGGCAATGGAGGAATCTGCTTGCTCCTACACTGCGTCGCCGGAGTGGAATGATTTTTCTCAGGCCTCCTACAGCCAGCCAGTGCGGGGGACTCGTGCCAAGGTCGACACGAAAAGGGAGCTTAACTTCACTCCACCCAGCGTAGCCAACGTCCCCACCGGAAGAAGCGGCCGTAAATTACAGATTTTCAGTTGCAAGCCCCAGCACATTCGTTCAAACTCGCGGCGGCTCCATGCGGCCACTCCCGGCGTTCACCATCTCCCGCCTCGCCGCCGTCCGCGCGGACCCCTGCGGCGTCCCACTCCCCGTCTTCAACTCCCTCCTCTCCAGCCTCGCCACCTCCGACCCCTCCCACGCGCACCTCCCGCTCCACCTCTTCCGCCGCCTGCTCCTCCTCCCCGCCCACCGCCCGGACGCCTTCACGCTCTCCTCCCTCGCCTCCTCCTTCCTCCCCCTCCACCCATCCCACGCCGCCGCCTCCCTCCACGCCTTCTCCCTCCGGCTCGGCCTCCTGCACGCCGACCCCGTCCTCACCAACTCCATCCTGCTCCTCTACCTCCGCTCGCCCCACCGCACCCCCACCACCGGCACGGCGCTCCGCCTGTTCGACGAAATGCCCGCCCGCACCGCCTCCACCTACAACACGCTCATCTCCCACGCCCCCGCGGGCACCGACGTACGGTCCTTGGCGCGCCGCATGGTCGCGGACGGGCTCAGCCCCGACAGGTTCACCGTCTCGGCGCTCCTGTCCGCGTGCGCGTCCGAGCGCCAGGGCAGGGAGCTGCATTGCTTCGCCGTCAAGCGCGGGATGTGCGGCGACGGCGATTTCCATGTCAGCAGCGGGTTTGTCTCCATGTACTGCAGGGTCTCCCGGCCAGGCCTTGCGCGCCGGGTCTTCGACAGGATGTGTCAGAGGAATGTGGTCTCGTGGACCGCCATGGTGGGAGGGTATGCGGAGAATGGCATGTTTGAGGATGCGGTGAAGGCTTTCCGGGCGATGTGGGCGGTTGATGGTATTCTGCCGAATAGGGTCGCATTGATCAGTGTGCTGTCGGCTGTCGAGGGCCTCATGGGCTTAGCAGAGGGCAAGCAAGTGCATGGTTTCGCTGTCAGGATGGGGCTCTACGGGGAGTTGTCTCTCAACAATGCTTTGATTGATATGTATGCAAAGGCCGGAGCCTTGCGTTATGCAAGGCGTGTTTTCGATGATGCTACTTGGCGCAAAGATGTCATCTCATGGGGTTCAATGGTACTGGGTTATGGCCTTCATGGTATGGGTACAGAAGCAGTTGCCTTGTTTGATCATATGCATGCTTCTGGGGTTAAGCCAGACAGCATAGTTGGTCTGGGTGTGCTCTCTGCGTGCTGCAGGGCAGGATTGGTGTTGAAGGGACTTGAGATATACAACTCCCTTGTTAAGGATCACAAAGTCCATCCAACCGAGGAGATGTCTGCTTGCGTAGTTGATCTACTGGGGCGTTCCGGGTTGATCGACCATGCCTTGGACTTCATAAAGTCAATGAGTGTAGAGCCAGGTCCTAGTGTATGGGGAGCACTTCTGGATGCCTCTGTTATTCACAGTAACAAAGAAACTCAAGATTTAGCTTGCAGGTCTCTTCTTAGATTGGAAGAAGAGAGCCCATCAAATCTTGTCTCGGTATCTAACCTACATGCCTCTTCTGGTAGGTGGAATATTGTTGAACAAGTGAGGGCAAAGATTAAACAGGGAACGTTGAAGAAAACACCTGGTCGCAGTTGGGTAAATGCAGCAACATAGTGACCATCAGTATTCTTCTAGGAATGAATTGTTCATGGCCCATTCAGCGGTTCAAAGCTCTACCAGTGCACATAAACTGGTTATGCTCTGGAATCATTGGCACTGTACAGGACCACATCAACATAAATTGTATCATTGGCAGTTAAAAGACCAGAGCTGCTGTACTTACTCTATGCTCATACATGTATGTTCAGGCGGTGGTTATTAGAGCAAACGAAGTGCCTCTGCAACAACGGTGCGGTTGTCTGCAATGTTCACTCTTCCCATGTACTCTTACACCAGGTAAATATAACTTCTTATAGGTTCACTGTATGATCTAAAATTATTTGATTGCTTCAGAAATTGGTGCTTCCTTATTTTTCACCAGAATTTGGTGAATTTTTTATTATGTCATCACATGAAGTGATTGAGTTCATTTTTCTAAGATAGTAACTGAGTTGCTAGATGAATGATGTGTTGACAGCAGAATCAAGGATGATCCAAAAGAACATTCTAAGCATAAGAATTTCTAAGAACCTAAACTTCCCAAGAGCACTAGACCAAGAGCCACTGACCAGAAAAGATCCAGAAATTTTTGGAGAACATATAGCTTTAGAAAGGGAAGATTCAAGAATGCTCAAATGGTGTGTATAACCATCGACTGAAATGAGCTTGCATTAGTACTCACTTTCTATGCAGCTGGGGCCGAAGCGAAAATCCTCTTTGACTTGAGTTTGGAGGTCTTTGTTTGTCCACAGAACATGTAATTTCTCAGTTTCTCTTGCACATTTGTTCATTTCGACTATAAAATGGATGACAACACAAGACATTACTCTCTACGAACTCATCTTGGGACCGGCTATGCAATTGTAAGTTTTACCTTAAAACATCATAGCCGGAGTTTGAATTTTGAGGAGTAGATTTATAGTGGTGGAACTCTTAGTGGAGTCGAACTCACTGAGAACAGTCTGCCAATGACGAGTGTTTTGGTATCGCCAGGGCATAAACCTTTTCAGAATCCCTCATTTGACAGTGAAACAGTATAACTATTGACGTTCAGACTGGCTGCAGAGAATAAAAGGACAACTGTCGTGGTAATCTCATGTGAGATGCCAGGGGGTGGCTTATCATGGATGGGGCCAGAAGGACGTCGTCGGGTCCTGGAGGTGGGAGTGAGCATGGGCTCGATCGGACATGAGACGTACCCAGGTTCAAGGCTCTCCGGAGAGACGAAATTCTTACTCCTGCTCTGCGGGGTCTCCGCATGATGACTATGATCAAAGTGAGTACAAGGGTGCTCCTATGGCTGTGTTGCTAGAGGAGGAAGTAGGGCAAGGCTAGCTCTCTTCTCCCTAGCTATGGTGTGTGGGTAAACTGAGGTTGGAGCCCTTTGCATGGGTGAGGCATGGGGCATTTTATAGGCCAACCCCCAGGGATACAATGGTAATACGACCGGGTGTAGGACCCGGCCGTCAGCGTCTACGGTCGTTGGCTTCTCCGTCGGCTGCTGGGGCCCGCCTCTGGAGGGCCCTGCCAGCTGCCGAGGATCCGGCTGACAGGTGGGGCCCGCCGCCTGCGGGCCTCGTTGACGGCTCTTCATTGTAGCGCCGCCCGTGCTAACGGAGGCTCTGTCGGGGGCCGCATGGCTACAGTGCCGCGCCGGGCGGGTCAGCAGCCGCCTGGCGGCGCTTACTGTAGCCATGTTTGGCTGGGATTTGGGGGGGGAGCATATGGCACTGTTGCCATGCGCAGCTTATCGCTTGGTCGGGCTCAGACTCCAAGGGAGGGGACGTGTCGCCTGCTAGAGGCCGGCCCATACCCAAGCCGCCTTCTAGGAGCGCGTCGTCTTCTGGAGGCCGGCCGCATGGCACCAGCCGGCTCTGGAAGCCGACCGCGAGACCAGTCGGCCTTAGGGGCTCAGCTTACCTCAATGTCTTGAAATCTCTTTGAGTGTGGATGAGGCTACCCGGGGTCTATCCCCCCGACAGTAGTTCTCGGCTCTACGGATGGCAACCAGAGTGCCTCAGCAGTTTCCCCTTCAAGGGATCCTTTGCCTTTGCTCCGTCCGGCTGGGAGAGACCGGGCGCCAGGAGCCGGTCACAGCTGTGGCCGCCTGTTGGAATTCAAATCGGTGTGGCGGGCGCTGGGGAGGCGCCGCCCGCCGCTTGAGCGCCACGCGGCGCCAGCAGGCCAGGCCGGCCTGCCAGCCCACGCGCGCGACGGGACGTCGCCACAGGACTGGGCCCACCACTACAGGTTCTCGGCACGCGCGCGGATCTGTTGCGGCCGAGGTGGGCGGTTGCCCTTCCGTGGCGGCTTTATTGCGCCTTTACGGCGTGAGAATCGCGAGGTATTGCGGGGATTGGGCGCAGTTAATCCCGCCCCTCCCCCACGTCGCCTCGGCTCTGCCGCACCCGCCTATAAGTAGGGGAGGAGGAGGGGCGGCAGAACGCACGTGCGCCTCCTCCATCTTCATCTTCCTCCTCTCCTCCTTTGTTGCTGCTGCTCCTTCGTCGCCATTGCTGTTGCTGCTGCTCGCCACCGCAACGCCGCCGCGACACCATCTTCCCCGTGCTTCTCCGAGCCGCCACCAAGCCATGGAGAAGAGCGGTTGGGATGGCTCGAATGTGCACGAAGGGCACATCGAGTTCCTCCGCGCGACGCGGAGGCTTCCCCACGCCGACGTCTTGGAGGCGCGCCTTCCCGCCGAGCGGGAGATCTCGCCGGCACCGCGGCCCGGCGAGTTCTCGTCTTCCGCACCCACTTCCTCTGGGGTTTCGCGCTGCCCGTGAGTAACTTCCTCCGCTCCTTCCTCGTTTTCTATGATCTGCAGCCGTACCACCTCACCCCCAACACGGTGGTGCTGTTGTTCGCCTTCGTGACCTTTTGCGAGGGTTACCTTGGCGTCTTGCCCTTGCTTAAGCTGTGGGGCAGTTTTTTCTACCTCAAACTGGGCACATCGGCTAAGGAGGAGCCGGCTCAGTGCAGGGCTTGCGTTGCCGTGCGGCGCTCAGGAGGAGGGACCCGCTTCCCGGCCATCGCTCTGCTGGAGTCGGCGAAACTCTGGCAAAAATCCTATTTCTACGTCCGGAATCTCCACCCGACGAAGGACTACATTAACCTGCCGGCCGTCGAGATCAGGTCGCCTGCTGGGTTGCGGGACAACTGGAGCCAGCAGCCGCCCAAGCGCCTGCCGCATGCTATCACCAACGTCCTCGTCCGGCTCCAGGAGATGACGGACCGGGAGGGGCTCAAGCCGGCCGACTTGTTGGCCGCCTTTGTCCAGCGCCGGGTTTCGCCTCTCCAACTCCGACCGCATATGATCAGCGAGATGAGCGGTCGCCGGGATCCATGTCGGATGTCCACCAAGGAACTGCCGACTGTCGAGGTGGTCCGGCACATGAACTACTTCTCCGGCAGCAAGCTCGATGAGGAAGAATGGCACATCGACAAGGAGCCGTACAGCCCTGCCAACCCGCCACTGTCGGTAAGTGTCTGGTCCGCCTTCTTCGCCCATGCCATACTTTACATCCGACTTGACCACCCGGCCTCATGGCAGCGCTTCCCGGGCCAAGGTGTGCCGGCTCCGGACCAGCAGTGGATGCCAGACCATGAAGAGAGCGGCGCGGGCGACCCTGAGCTGGGGGCGGCCGGCTTGGATGACGGGGGCGAGGACGACGCCACCGGAGGAGGCGGCGCGGGAGGAGGCGGCGACGTCTGGTCCTGCCGGGATGACGACGAGGACAACAAGGGCAGCGCGGCTTGGAGGAGTCGCGAGGACATGAGTCGGCCCTTCGACGCCGTCTGCCGCACCCGGCGCGCACAAGCGCCGGCTTGAGGGGAAGTTCGGCAGCCGTCCGACAAAGAAGACCAAGCAAGCGGCCAGGACCAAGCGATGCGAGGTCGTGAAGGTGGCCGCCATTTGGAGGGCCCCTAAGCCGTTGTCGTACGTGTCTGGGTGAGTGTGCTTGCTGCACCTGCTTCGTACCTTTCTTCTTTCTCTTGGGTTTTTTTCTCATTCTTGTTCCCCTGCTGAGCAGAGCAGCCATCGCCACCATGCGGGCTCCGTCTGCCTCACTGATCGGTTCAGCAGGCGGCTCCGAGGAGGCCTGACGCGTGGATCCGGTCGCCGCCCTTCAGGAGGCGACATCGAGGAACGCTCGGGAGGTGCGCGAGGAGCGGGAGGCCATGGAGAAGGCGTAGGCCGACGCCCAAGAGGCCGAGGCGGCGCAGGCGGAGGCCCAGGCCACGGGGAGGGCGCATGAGGAGGCAGCGAACAGGGCGCGGGCGGAGGCCAGCGCCAAGGCCACGACAGATCCGGCTGGTGGTGGGGTCCTGGAGACCACCAACCTCGAGCAGACGGAGGTGCAGGAGGGGGAGCACCGGGCGCCGCCTGGGACAGTCGGCGCCGGAGCAGGTGGTCGTTGACGCCACCATCCCAAAGGCGGAGGAGGTCCAGCACACGCCGGGTGCTGGAGGGCGAGGAGGCGGCGAGCCCAACTAGCCGGAGGCGCTGCAGACCGTCGCTGGGCAGCCGGCAAGCCAGGCCCTGGTGGTGCACGCTTCCTCGCACCTGCGCCCGACGCGGACGACTTCAGAGCCGATGCTGGTGGAAACCGCGGCCTCGAGCTCGCAGGGGGCCAACGCCGGGGCCACGAGTGCTCCTCCTCCAGGCTAGATGGCGGGGGCCGGATCGGCCGCCCTGAACCTGGCGGTGCAGGACATGCTGGACAAGTTCTTCGTCCACAACGTCACCCTCCATAGGGCGAGGGAGGAGCTGCTGGTGATGTGGACGTCCGTCCAGGTATGTTTGTCTTGCTTTGTTTTTCTCTTGTATCTTCCATGGGGCACGCAAGCGCACCCACTGGGTGTAGCCCCTGAGTTCCAGTCTGGCTGCTGAGCAGACTTGTTGGAACTTAAAGGCGCTCTTCTGATCGTTGAAACGCTACTCTTTGTTGCAGGACTGCCTCTCCGATGATGACTTCTCTGTCCACCTGCGCCCTGGCGGCGAGTTCCTGGTG